GCACGCGAGCACACGATCGACCGATGCTTCGTCAGCCTGCCCAGCGACCTGAGGCCGATTATGGAGTCCGCTTACGTTGCCGACGACTCGCCGCTCGAGGACAAGAAAGGCCCCATCATTGACCGCAAGGTCACGCACCTGCGCGCACCCCGCGAACGTGGAATCCCAGCCTGCATCTTCGACTCCGCTCGCTACCACCACCACCACGTCAAGCGCGTCCTCATTTTTTTGTCCCGGCGCAGATGAATCCCAACGCGAAGTGGAGGGCGCTGAAGGCGGCCATGCAAGTAGCTGCCGCCAAGACCTGAGACGCGCTGATCAAGATCCCCGACGCAGAGTTGACATCGCAGTCTCTCGTTCTCTCCCAAGAAGCGCCCGCCATGACCCTCCGCAGCATCGCCAGGGCGTCTTAGCAACAGAACGCCGCCCTCGCCAAGGTGCTGATCGACAACGCCGCCGCGGGCCAGCGCCACCTCCGCATCGCAGACGGCAAAGTCTCCTCCATCAGCAACGTGGCCGACTTCACCTCGGCCGCGGACACCGCGCGCGCGCGCCAGCCTCCGCAACGAGAGGAGAGCGAAGGCCTCCGCGCTCGCGCGCGCCGCCTACGCCGCCAACAACGACCCCCTCGCTCGCAGGTGTCAGAGCGTCCCGGGCAACGCGTGCAGCGTCGTCACCGACCCCGCCTCGATGCCCCAGGTCACCGTGCAGCGCTGGGCCCCCGTCCTTGTCGAGAAGCGAGTCGGCGCCACTTGCCTGACCGAGCGCCTGGCTTCCCTGTCCCCCCCGGCGCCCTGCTCGCCGACCCGGGCCTCCCCGACGCCGGGGCGCTCGAGCACGTGGCGCGCCTCGCGGGAGGTGTCGCCCCTGGCCCAGTCGGTCCTCCGCGCCGCGCCCGGCCGCGCGCGCCGCGCAGCTTCGCCGTCCTCGCCGAGGTCGCCGACGTCGCCGTGAACGGGAGGCGCTCGCAGAACTCCTGGCCGGCGGTGGCCCGGGGCTCCGTCTTGACCTGTGGCATCGCACGGGAAACTTGAAGAGGGGCCTTCGACGGCCCTGGCAGGAAAGCGCGGAAAGAGAAAGAGGCGCAGCGGCAGATCGGCAGATCAGGATCACCCTGGGCCGTAGTTGGAAGGATTCGCGCAGCACAACCTGCAAATGTCCAACATAGTGGGTTCCAAGCTCGCGCCAGCACGCATGGGTAGAATACAGAGGACACAGGAAAACACGCAAGCAGTCTCAAAACCGAAGAACTGGTAGAAACCATCGACTCGCACCTGGCAGTCTACAATCACGTCATCATTTAGACATTTAGTTCTTGTGGACTGTTCTTTCTGTTGGGCTCCCCGTAGCTTTCGGTTCTCCCTTTCCGTGGCTTTCAAGTCCCGCGCATGATCTTCATCCGCTAGTTGGTATTTGTTAGCCCGCATACAGGCTCGCAGGAGGTTTGAACGAGCGCGCCCGCAGCGCCGGGAATAAGGAAAGGGGGGCCCCAGCTTCAAGCTACCCCCCCCCCCCTTCCCAAAGGGGGGGGGCTTCCGAAGCTACCCCCACCCTTCCCTTCTGCAAGGGTTTCTAAGCTAGGGGGGCCCTGGCTAAAGGCGGGGGGGGCTTCGAAGCTACCCCCCCCCTTCCCCCCTTCTCCGGAGCAGAAGGTGAGCCCGGGCTTCCCTTTCAGGGGGGGGGGATGGCTTCGGAAGCTACCCCCCCTCATTCGTTTTTGGGTCTGGACACAGGGGGGGGTGGGGGGCGGCTGCAAGCTACCCCAGCCCCCCGATCCGGGGTCATGGCAAAATGGCTGAGTCCCTGCAGACATGTGCGCGCCGCAGCGCTAGATAACGCATTGGAGAATAACGTCGACCCCTGGTTTGTTTTCTTATTTTCTTGTTTTCTCGGCCCCTGGTTCGTAGTCTCGTTTTCTCGGGCCCTGATTCCTTTTATGGTTTTCTCGCTTTCTCGGCCCCTGGTTCGTTCTCTCGTTTTCTCGTGTTCTCGGCCCCTGGGTCGTGGTTTCGTTTTCTCTGACCCTGGCTCGTTTTCTCGTTTTCTCGGCCCCTGATTCGTAGTCTCATTTTCTCGGGCCCTGCTTAGTTTTCTAGGACCATGGTTAGTTTTCTCGTTTTCTTGTTTTCTCGGCCCCTGGGCCGTGGTTTTGTTTTCTCTGACCCTGGTACGTTTTCTCGTTTTCTCGGCCCCTGGGCCGTGGTTTTGTTTTCTCTGACCCTGGTTCGTGTTCTCATTTCTTGTTTTCTCGGCCCCTGGGTCGTGGTCCAGTGTTCTCGCACCCTGGTTCGTTTTTTCGTTTTCTTGTTTTCTCTGCTCCTGGGTCGTGGTCTCGTTTTCTCGGACGCTGGTTTGTTTTTCGTTCTCTCGTTTTCTCGGCCCCTGGGTCGTAGTTTCGTTTTCCCGCACCCTGGTTCGTTTTCTCGTTTTCTTGTTTTCTCGGCCCCTGGGTCGTGGTCTCGTTTTCTCGGACCGATATTCGCGTTTTCTCGGCCTGGCATGGACATTGAAATCGATTGTAGGATCGAAAGTGAGGACGATATTAAGGCCGATCGTGAGACCGATAGTGAAGTCGATCCAGTGGGATCGATCGTGAGATCGCTTGCGCGATCTATAGTTAGATCGATTGCGAGATTGATAGTCAGATCGATTGTGAGAGCTATCGTGAGATCGATAGAGCGGTGGGTAGTGAGATCGATGGTGAGACCGATCGATAAGGAGATCGACCAGGAACTCGGGAACCCGGAAGCTTGGGAACCCCGCCGCCTAGCGAAATTGGCTCGGAACCGGGAACCCTGGAACCCAGAACCGGGAACCCAGGAACCCGGCGGCCTACCGAAATCGGCCGCCTACTTTCGCCAAATCCTTCAAGATCCGCCAGGACCCCGTTCAGTGCAAACACTGATTGGGGAATGTATGGCAGCGGGTCTTTCGCATGACGTCATCGAGCTCACGACCGTGGTTCTCGTGTAATTTGCCAGCCTTTGAATGTTCCGGGCTTTATGAGATTCAGTGATATCTTTCTGCTTGTCCGTCCACGTCGCCGCAAGCACCTCTATCACGTCGGATTCCTCGAATGTTTCCGTGCTAGGGACGCCTTCATCGCCAGGATCGTTTTGTTCTACCAGCAGGGCCTCTATGTCCGCGAAGTCCTCGTGGTCGGGGCTCGTCCTGAAAGACGCGTCTGGCTCGTAGGTTCATCGCCAAGTTCAGCTGAGGCGGCCAGGAGCGCACCAGCCTCGGTGCGACGCATCTTCGGTACCTCGCAGGTCGGGAACACCGCGCGGATGGCCTCCATGTCATCGGCCGTGCACTTCGTCGCATCAGTCTTCGCGATGGCACGCTGGTTGGGACTGAAGCCGCAACGATGTCGACAGATCCAGGCCTGAGCCTCTGGAGGAAACTGCACGTTGGCTCACGTCGGGCCTGTCCCTCTGCAGGAGGAATATCCAAAAATAGCCAAAGAATAGTCCGGGGACGATTTTTGGACCATGTTTGAGCATTTTTGGGGGTATTCTTTTGATATGTTGCATTTCTCGTCCAAGATCCCCATGTGGGGGGACAGGCCCGACCTAAAGGCTGGCCTGCGCGGCGCACTTCCAGAGCACCTCTGTGGCTCGCAACGAGCCGCGATGCGGCCGCCTCGCCATCGACCCCGTGCAGGCCGAAGACCGCCTCCAGGTGCTCTCCGAGGACGCTCTCCTGCAGAGCGTGAATTACCTACCCCGCTTTCGCTTCCAGGCAAAACCAAGTCATACCACGCGCCTCCTCGTCAAGCGGCCTGACCAGTACAGGCCGTAGTTTGGCATCGCTTGGTATCTCTTGGAAGCGAGGGTGGTCAAAAGCGAGGTAGGTTTGTTTGCCCCCCCTTGGCCCGCCACCGCCCAGGAGAAGATCGACGCGCTTCACGTCTCCGTCCGCCTTCTCGCAGTGCTCGAAAGCCGAGTGATCAACAGTCTCGAGCGCCGACCCCTGCAAACGAGTATACACGATAGGTCCGCGCTGCTCTTCCTCGAGCTCCTGACGGGCCATGGCGGTCTTCGTCAATGTGATGCACTTCTTGAGCTCCTCATGACTACCCGAGTTCCCGTCGCCATGGAAGTACCGAAGCCCACGGTCAGCATTTTCTGATGTCATCACTGACTCGTCTACAGTGGAGACCCATGCCAAGAAACACCCTGCTTTCCTCCAGGGTGCCCTGGGGTTCTTGGGTTTCGATGGTTTTGCCATTGAGAGCGCGACGTTCCCGCACCAGAAATCGATGGACGCCCTGGGGTCTCAGGGCCGGGTTTCTTGTGGAAGGTTTCTTATGGACTGGCCTCCCCTGCATCGTCTACCGAGCCCTCTCGGCAGGGACACTGCCGGGCCGTCTTGGCTCACACGTGTTGGCGCCTCTCCGAAGGCGCCTGGAGCTCCTCCTCCTCCTCCTCCCTCCTCCCTCCTCCTCCTCCTCCTCCTCCTCCTCCTCCTCCTCCTCCTCCTCCTCCTCCTCCTCCTCCTCCACCAGCGAGAAAGCCAAAGCCTTGGATGGAGTAGAGATGACGGGCCCCGTGGGCTAGCCCCGAGCGCTTGCAGCGTGCCCAGCGTGCAGACCTGACAGCGGGCGGCGATATGTGCACGCAGCGACAGAGAGAGAGAGAGAGCAGGACTGGCCTGAGGTGAACATTGACAACATCTGTGGAGGACGATAAATGGAGAGGAAGCATGTTGCCAAATAGTTCCCAGATGTCTAAAACAGGTTTTTAAATTTCTTCAACCTGTTTTTTTTTCAACCTGTTTTTTTTCATTTTTAAGAACGCGTGTTTAGAAAAGTGTTTCCAATCTTGTCAACATATGTTGACTTCAATGGCAGGATTGTTAGGGTGTCCATCGTCATGGCATCCGCAAAAAAGTGATCCCCTTCCCCCTCCGCGGCCCGCCCTGGAGAGGAGGTCGCCGCCGGCGAGGGCCGCTACGCCTGCGAGGTGCTGGGCGACGGCCGCGCCGTGGTGCGGCTGCAG